AACAAACTGATAACACCCCAGCTGCTTCACATTAACATGAATCCCTGCCATATTCCATCATTTCCATTATGCCCTAAGATATAAGTAAAGAACATGAGCTCCATTCGTTCCTCTCCAAGTCTCCCCATCTGCTTTTTTTTTTTTTTAAATAGAATAGAGTTGGCAAGTTTACATCTCTTCCCTTTCCCAAACACGCATTATCTCTGTGAAACAGGTGGCAGCAGTCTCTCCTTTACATGTAAATGAATCTTGATGCCCATATTTACTACAATCCATATCTGTGTAGGCCTGGAGTTTTGAATGTTTCACTATTGCAGACAATCATAAATTAAAACAAACCAGTATTTTTTTGAGAATGAGAAAAATAATAAAATACGCTGGGTTCTAATAATATATTAACAGTCTCACTTTTAAAACTTTCAAATGTAATTAACCAAAAACTAAATAGAATGTTTACTTATACACTAGCATATGAAAAGATTTAACAACTGAACATGAAATTAAGACATCATTTCATTCAAGTGTAGAGATGACCTAACCTAATACTTCAAATCGTAAATACATTGTTGGAGCAACTGCCCTAAATCCCTTATTAGCATGCAAACTCTTAAAACTGCAAAGCTGATTATGTGGAAGCAGACCGTTTAACCAAACCAGCCCATTCACAAAACTTCCTCCTTTTTTTAAGTGACTGAAAGCATTTGCAACAATTCAGAAACACTGTAATCCTAAAACAACAGTTATTCCATAATTACTCCCAAAACCTTGCAATTAAAAAACTCAAAACTGGTAGGTTAAAACAGAAGGGTTGAATAGGCTTAAAGCAAGCACTAATATAGTTATTTGAAAAGAAATGTGTTTGAGAAGAGGAAGAATTACTGTCAGCCGTTCCCACCATTTTTGTTCTTCACTCAACTATCTGATGAGATCTAGTCTCTTGCTCCCATGCCTCATTTTAATCTTGCAATAAAAAAAAAATTCCCCTTTATGACATAAGTGACTTTCTCATTTGTACACACACCAGGTTTTAATTTCATTGCAGAGTCAAGACGGATACTGAGAACACAGAGAAGTATTTGGGGCAGGGGTGGGGGGAGTAAATACTTTGCAACAAAACCCAAAGATTAAAGTCTGCTTTTCTATAGGAAGGTATTTTCTGTCCCCTCTTTAACTCAAGTTCCTTCCTATGTTAAAGGAAATGACAATAACCTTCACTGACAATTCTATGGGGACTGCAGTATATACTGCCATCATTTGCCAGACAGGAGGCTTACTGCAGTATACTTGGGTAAATCTTACCCCAGTGATCTGTCCTCCGGCCAGCATGAGCTGGGTCTGGGGTATGGCCGCCTGCACTGAAGGCTGCTGGGAAGGCTGGCTTGGCTGCTGAGAGTCCCCAGATTCTTCATTAGATTTAGACTAGTCAAAAAAAAATATACAACTCTTTATAGTGTAAAACAGATGTTAATGTATAACACTGCTATCTCAATACTGCACAATAAAAATCTTTCATCTGCATACAAAAAGCCCTTGGGTTTATTTTAAGAGTGTGTTTAAGCAATGGCTCTACGTGCCCACCATCTCAGCTACGATTGCTCAAACATGTCTGTGGGTAATAAAGCTTAAACAAAACAAAAAGATTCTCTGGTCTTTTGTAACTCTTTGACATTATTTTCAGGTCTCATTTCATTTTATGCAATGCAACTGACGCTGACACTACCTTTCACCATAAAGAAAGAAAGGGTTGTTAAAATTATTCATTGCCTAAAATCCTGAATAGTGGAACACGGGAAAGGAGATTGTGTTTCCATTTTCTATATCTGCATCCTGCACCTCTAAGTCATCATGCTGTTGGCTTATACAGAACTGGTTTGAGAAATTCTCAGAGATTTATCTACCTACAGCAAAACACATAATATATACAGCACTTTTAAATAATCAAAGTTTAGCATTTATTTAATTGAATGCTGCTTTATTTTAAAAGATTGGGGGGGTTGATTTTTTTTTTTTAAACAGAAGAAATTGTGAAGACATGAGGGAGGAAATGCAAGTGCATGAAGAGGGGGAGAGAGTTTTATGATAATTAAAACTGGTTATGCAGAACATTAAAATTCTGCATAGATTTGCATATTTTCCACCACCTGTTTTGGGGACTGCAGAGCAGGCTAATTAACATAAAGGCTCTGATTAATTCTGCCAGTCATTGAGCGATAATTACAGCGCAGGACTGTAAACATTCTGCACTGGAGATACAGCCTGTTTGCCAACATCTCTCTCAGGGATGGAAGTTTACCATGGCAACCAAGGCAATTTTCTGCCTCCTTCCTCTCAGAAAGGAAGGTCACTATACCTCCTCGTCTTTCCAAATTGTTATTATGTATAAGTGGGTTCACATTCTATTGCATTTCATGTAATGCACTACCTACATTCTTTAATAACAAGCAATATCGAAATCAGTTTTCAATAAAACTGCATCCCTTGCCCCTTGATACAGTACTGAGAGGAAGTGGCACATTAACTGATACACTGAAGTGTTCAGCATCATAAAAAAGTTTGAAAGCTTTGTTGTCTCACATACATTATTAAACAACAATTACTCTGACTTATTTTGAAATCACTACGTGTTATTTACACAAGCTATCTACACTAGCCACATTACATAGTTAATGTTACATTATACTCCTATATTCAGCTACCAGAAGTAAGGACAAATTGCAAAATAATACCTGCTATGTTTAAAATAAGTGAAGAAATTGAAGAAATATTCCTGGAGTCTTATAGTTTTCATGACACAATACCTGACTGAAATTCACTATAAAATTACAATCACTGCATGTTTTAAACAACTCCAGTTTCTGAATGCTAACAATCCTGAACCTGATTTACAGTGTAAAACTATTATTCCTTCACACCTATCACCTGCAAGACCAGTCAGAATGAAAAAAACAGAGTAACATATCATAGGTTAAGAACTACCTCTAATGGGACCATAATGCTGTTTGGAATGAGAGAAGAACAAGCAGCAGAAAGAAACTGTCTTTACCTGTACATTTAAGGACTGAGCAGCAGCCTGTAAACTTGTTCCAGCGAGCTGGACCTACAACACAGTGCAAAAATGAAAATGATGCAATGTAGAATCCACAGAAAGCTTTTAACAATGTAAAAAGAAGAACCTCTGCCCCCCCAAGAAAAACTCTCCCAAAAACAATGCATGCCCCTCTAGCACCTGAATCAGTAAAACAGATGTTCTCAGCCTGGAGCACAGCCCCTGTAAGACTCTTCCACAGTGTTATTTGTCTACCTCTTGCCAAGCATATTCCTGCCTAGGGATCTAGATATTATCATGAAATTGAGCAGAAACAGAGCAGGTGGACAGGCTAACTATTCCTATTCCTTTTAAAAAAACAAAACCCAGACTTCAAGGGAGGGCATTAAGCTCTACTCATCATCATCCTTCTAATATTTCAGAATGGGTCTTACCCCTAATGTGCACACTGCATTCACCCGCTTCCTTATATGACAGAGGAGCAATCACCTGCATAGCACAAAACTCACAGCATAAACACTTTTCCTCAAATCAAGCCATTCAAGCATTTGCAGTCCTCAGCCACTGAAAAGAAGATCTCAATACAGAGGACTGGAGACACTTTACAAAGGCTGTGTTGTTGATTCAGGTATACTCAAAACTTGAATTCAATGTTTGTGATTAACAGGTCCAAAGAAGTTCTTGTGGGTTAGCAGTGAAGAAAAACTGATGCTTCAGAAAGTGAGATTTTTCAAGAGTGTTATTTTATCTGTAATAACGATTTTCTCTGTACAATAAATGCTAAATTTTCATTTACTGAAGACTGTTTTAATCAGTCTCGCCTTGTTTCTACAACCACTCCTACTACAAAGAAGGAATGCTATATAATTAATTACCAACACTTTCAAAGGTCAGAGTTACAGCCTGTAGTGAATTCCATCTCTGGCCATGTTTGAAAACCACTGCTCATTTGAAAACCAGGCAACACATAAGGATACAGTAAAGCAAAGCAAAATGTAACACTTTTGCCTCTATAGAAAGATGTCCCCACATAATATACAACACAAACAAGAGCCCACATATCTGCAAGCACAGGAAGGAGAGTTTTAATTTAAACTGCAGTACCTGAAATTAATAACTGAATATTGAAACAGGCAACCCTTAAGAGTCACCTTGAAAATATTTCCTAGCACTCTAGATGAAGGTGCTAGACTTGCTAAGCATGTTCTACATCTAAGCAAACACTCCCAGAAAAGCTGCTCCTCATCACAAGCAAAACGTTGTTTGACACAGTTGATGTAATCTGAGCCTTTAAGATTAATTAACAGCAGAGAATAATTTAAACAATAATAGCCTGCCATCCAAAAAATATACTCAGAAGTAATACTTTAAAAATAAAAGAACAAAAAAATCCACAAAAAAGACTACAAATGTATCTCACTCAGGTACAGCCAGCGTATTCCTGAAAACCTCTTTCAATGCAATTTGGACATCCCTTCCACCACACAACAAACATTTTCTCATTAGAAGTTAAACTGCTCCTGAATGTTGCCTACAACCTAATATTTTGCATTAGTCTGGAGGAAAGCACTGTGTGTTAAGGCTGAATAACACCCCGCTAAAACAGCCATGCCCAAAGAGGACAGTTTGACAATAGACTCCCACACACTTGCAGGTGCATAAAAGAATAGCTGAGATTTTCCTTTGAACTAGAGTTTCAAGAAATGAATCACACTTTAGCAAACATGAAGTTATAAAGACCCTGACAACTGTTTAAATAAATACATTTCCAAAGCAAGATAAAGTACTGTGCTAAATACAATTACTGTCCTGGATCAATCTATGTAACAAAACGAAGACTAAAAAAACCACACAAAATTCTGCAGAACAACTGTATCTGTCTCCATGTTAAACACATACTGACAACCCATGAAAACTAGTCAGCTTCTCTCCACATAAAGGCATCCTATAACAGCCTATTGGTTCGGCAAATTCAAACACTGGCACTCCCTAGGTACTACATAAGCCAACCTACTAGCAAAATTGTAATTATGTGACAAGACGTGTGGAATGTTCCATACAATAAAATGGCAGTTCAGAGCTCTCAAAAGAGGGCATAAAAGCTTCAGTACATCAATTATACCACAATAACTGTGCAACCTCAGAGCTCAAACATTCAAGGTCAGCCAATTAGGTACAATATTTTAAAGTTTAAACTTGGTGCTGAGGAAGGGAAAGAAATTAGGACATTTGTTTTCATACATCAAGTGTGAACAGATAAAAAACTACAAAAAATGCCCCTTATATGTCTCTTCACCTAGGGATGCCCCATTTTGCTTCAGCCTACATCTGAAGTTCACAGAATCACAGAATCACTAGGT